TATGAAACATTTCTTGAATCATCTGACTAAAGAAGTGGAATGCTGTCATGGAAGATTCTGAAAGGAAACTTGGCTTATAATTGTATTTCACACAGAGAAATCCTAAAAAGTTCCTATGTAGCCAGGCTGTACTACTATAAATAACGAATGCGCACCATTTTGCATCAGAAGAAGCTCATCTCTCCTCCTGTGCTATCCATCTCGGTGCTGCTTGATCTATCTTTCCTTTGTCAGAAATAGTAATGATGCATAAAGTTTAACTTAGTCATACTTGGTTTAAACTACTATTGAATATGTGATTTAGAGAATTTCATCTGAAGTAAAGCATGATCTACGGTAAAAATTGAATTAAAGCTATGGAATAAAGATGTACCATTAAAAGCTAAATCAACTTGCCTCTTCATTTGGATTAGCTTTACCACTCTGCAAAAACCATGCCTGAACTTTGATGCCGAAATATCTTAATAATAGTTACTTATTTAATAATAGTTACTTATTTTAGAAATAATACATCAATAAACAGTTATTAACAATAAAAACAATAAATAATATAAGAATAAAAATAAAAGAAAAAACAATAAAAAATAAATTTTATTGAATTTAACAACATTTTTATGACACTGTATGTCACAATATTTACAAAGTTTTCAGTAATTATTCAAAATGCAAAAGAGATACACAGGCTACACATAATTGACAAAATAAAAACCTTTAATGCTTTAGTTTTTTTTTTATATGTGTGAATTTTGCATTCTGCATTCTTTTTTACTGTTTTTAATTACAGTACTAATCTTAAGGTTATTGTGTTTTATTATTATATATTTGTATGTCAACACCACCAAAATTACTTGAATTTATTTCATTTACAGGTTGTCTATTTAGATGGTCTTTAAAATTATCTATGTATGATTTTGATATAAAGTACAACAAAGGAACCATTAATGTTGAAGCTGACATGCTTTCTAGAAATTCCATTTGTCAGTATTTAAGATTGCAAGTTAATTTATTATCATTAGAAGAAATAAAATACCAAAATTTAAACAATGTATGTGATCCTAAATATAAGAAAATGAATGATGTGTTAACTACAGTCAAAAGTCATTAATTCGGACACCCATAACCCGGAATGATCTATAATTCGGACCTCAAAGCTACAAACTCTCTGCGCATGCGTCGCGTTGACGCATTCGCGTTTAATGTATAACGGATGGTATAAGCTAAGCTAAAATTATCTAATTCAGTTAATGTTGCAGATTGCATTGTTCCTTAATCTTCGAATTGGATCCGGCTTATTATTTTTTGCAGACTGTTAGAGCAATTTTATAAAAGTAAGCTTGAACTTTCAATTATGTCAAATAGAATTTCCGATATATATTTACTAATATGTAAAGGATCTACAAAGCGAAAGTATGTTCGAAGTCCATTAAACAAAAAGCGGAATTGCTGCAAAGAAATGGATAAAGGCATATCCTTTGTTTCTCTAACCATTCCAAAATCTGTTTATCAATTTCACGCTGCTCTGCGGTGGGTGGGGGGAAACGCTGCGGCGCACAATGAATTGGAAGTTGATCTGTCAGCACTATCCTTATCTTCAGGGCAGATGTTTTTATTTTATTTGGCTTATAATTGCTTACTAAATGAATTATTTCATCTTGATGTACTCCGTCTTTGATATGATTTAAATCAAATTCCTTGTCATTATAATTTGCTTCCGATAGTGAAGAAAGTGACACAGAGGTTATTGAAAACGAAAAATTTTTGATTGACAAATTAGTTGGTATTCTCGGCACAGCAATTATAGGACTTGAACAGCGGAACTTTGTAACTGAGGAAGAAATTATGTTTGTTTATAGAATTAAAGAGAAAGTATTATCACATAAAACAAAGCAACTTGAATAACTTACATTGAAAGAAATGTTTAATAAAGTAAACAAATAAATATTAAGTTTTTTTTTTTTTGTAAATTTTGATACCCTTTAGATCATAATTGTTCTTTATTTCATAAATTACGGTTTCATATTTTTAATTTTATAATTTCTGCATGCCATCTTACCAGATTTAAACTGATGATCTATAATCCGGAAAAATCGATAATCCGGAATCGCCAAAGTCCCGATGAGTCCGGATTAACGACTTTTGACTGTATTAAAAAACAACGGCTGTTTAAAATTGTAATTCCAATGTCTCTTCGTACTAAAGTACTTGAAAAAGCACATCTAGAATTTGGTCATATTGGTGTGTCCTGTATGCTATATTCATTATCTCCAGTATTATTGGTCAGGAATTGTTCAAAATGTTAGAAATTATTGTAAGCATTGTCAAGTATATCAGTTTAATAAGAAAAGTAAACAAAAGAAATTTGGTTTAATGCAAAACTTACCTTCAGTCAGTGAACCTTTTGAAATATTATCTACTGATACTGTTGGAGGTTTAAATTATTTTAATTCTACCAAAAAGTATATTCACATAATTATTGATCATGCCACCAGATATATTTGGACTTTTCCTTCTAAAAGTGTAACTACTGGTACTTACATAAATTGCTTAAAACAAAATTTTCAAATTCGGGTACCTAAGAAAATTTTAAGTGATAGGAATGCTGCTTTCACATCTTCAGAATTTAAATACTTTTTAAGGAAATATAAAACAATTATTAACTACTGCAAATAGACCTCAAACTAATGGTAAAATTGAATGTGTTAATCAAGCAATTATAACTAGATTAAAATGTAAACTAAATTCTTATCAAGGTAATATTGTGTGGACAAAATTATTTCCCTAAGTAACTGAAGAATATAATAATACCCCTCATTCTGTAACAAAATTCCCACCATCATACTTAATGTATGGAAAATTACCTTATGATTCCTTAATTCAAAATCAAGAATTATATCCAATAGAAGAAGCTAGAAAAATAGCTAAAAAAAATCTGATGATTATCATAATGTTAATAAAGAAAGATATGATACTCATTATAAACCTAGTAATTTTAAAATAGGTGATTTAGTAATGTATGAAGAATTTCAATATCCTAATACACATAAACTCCATTTTCCATTTTCAGGATCTTAGAAAATTCTGAAGTTACTTATGAAATTGATAAACCTAATACTCTAACTAAATAGAAATCAGAAATTGTTCATTCAACTAGACTAAGACCTATTATTCCAGCAAGTAAATTTAAATTAACTGTTAGAAATAGTAGAATTCCTCTCTCTGTTCAAAATTAATTTAATTCTAATTTTTTCAAATTTCTTTCCTGATTTTGACTTTTAATACCTGATCTAGACATAAACCCTAACTATGACAAATTATTTTCCCCCACTATGACAAATTATTTTCATGATTTTGACCTTTTATATTCTTCACATAATTTTGAGTCAGCTATGGTCATGAAACTGGCTTGGCTTTTTATATACGTTTTCATACTAGCCACGATCCTCTGACCATAGTTTAGCACAGAAGCGTTACCACATACAACACACTAACACATATTTTTCACATAATTTTAGATTATTTTGTAACAATTTTTTTTTTCCCTTGTTGTAATGTAATATTCATTTTTAGTTTCTAAATTTCTAAAAAAGACTTTTAACTTGATCATACAAGTTATTCATCTTAAATTTATAATTTTGTATTTTTTACAGAAACACTTTGAGATACACAATGCCAAAAACCAGTTACCTTTTATTAGGCAACGGAGGTTTTTTGATATTTTGTACCTAGCACCCCCAAACCATCAGCAAGCTAGTTATGCTGATCTGTTGGCGAGGACATGCCAAAACTTTTGATTCAAAGTGTTAATGTCTTATTGTATCATATCATTATTTATATTGAATTGTATCCTAATGTTTTGTATTGAATTTTAAAACTATTTTTAAATACGTATTGTTTTTAAATATAAATTTTTAAATATAAATTGTATTGTTAATTACCTACGATGAGAAGAATGAATGCACATAATACATTATTCATAAATTGTATAAATTGTATATCTTCTAAGTTTTATATAAAAAGAAAATTTTAAATATCTTCTATTCAAAAATCATTAGTGACTCATATTTATTAGAAAAAGTGCATAATATTTTTGAACTTATTCATTCCAACTATTTTTATGAAAGGGACTGACTGTTCAATGGACATTTTAAGAAAAATTGAGGACTTTTATGCTTACAATTTATTTATTATTATTATTATTCTATATAAAATTTAGTTATATGTTTATTTATAAATCATTGTGAATTTGCATAATTAAAAAATTTTACAATTATATGAAAAAAGATCATGATTTATGATAGGACGTAGTTAAAGTTTGTAAGCTATGTCCTGGATATTTCTTCATGTCTTTCCTCTTACTTCCTGCTTCCCTAATCTACTTATGCTTTGCTCACCCGGCCCCTTGTTTTGAGGGGGGGGATGTAAAATATAAAAAAATACGATGGCTTTGCTTTTTGCAAACACGCAACCTTTAATTAACTTTCTGCAATTCAGCATCTTCTCCTTAGACCAGTACCTTCTAGAATTTGCCAGCCTATTATGTAACCGCTACTATAAATAACGAATGTGCACCATTTTGCGTTAGAAGAAGCTTGCATCTCCTCCTGTGCTATCCATCTCGGTGCTGCTTGATCTATCTTTCCTTTGTCAGAAATGGTAATGACGCATAAAGTTTAACTTTAGTCGTGCTTGGTTTAAACTACTATTGAATATGTGATTTAGAGAAATTCATATGAAGTAAAGCATGATCTGTGGTAAAAATTGAATTAAAGCTATGGAATAAAGAAGTACCATTAAAAGCTAAATCAACTTGCCTCATCGCCCACCAGCGGCCGAGCGGTAAAGTTGCTGAATACTGGTAGTTCGGTCCGAGGTTCGAATCCCGCGAACGGGCTGGCTGCATGGTTTTTTTTCGGTGTTTTCGTGGTTTTCCCCATGTGTAACGTGTATACGAGCCAGTTTTCCTTAGAAAGTCCTCCACGAAGGCATCCCTCCCCTTAGGCAGACAGCCCTCGTGTGCTTTGCCATAATTAAATACACACACACAACTTGCCTCATCATTTGAATTAGCCTTACCACTTTGCAAAAACCGTGCCTGAACTTTGATGCCGAAATATCACATATATACACACACACATGTATATATATTATATATGTACTTTTTATGTGCAGGATATATATATACTTATGTATTTTTGCTTTTTTAAATGTAGCTAGTGGCCAAAAACTCCTTTTCCCAAATAACTTTCCAAAAGCTTTTCCTGATGCTCCATTAGCTGGTGATGATGTTAGATTAGAATGTGTTGCATATGGATAGTAAGTAACTCTTTTTTTTCTCCTTATTTTAATCCTGCTTGATGCTTGCAGTAAATTGATTGTGCTCCCCTTGAAACTGTTGTCTTTTATTTTTGTGAGGATAAAATAATTTTTTTTTTTTTCTTCTTTGGGCTGAGAATTTATGCTTCACAAAGTACGAAGTACAAAGAATCAATTTTATTCATTTTGACATGCTGAATATGGGTATATGACAGTTAAAGTTTATGTTGATTCAAATGTTAAAGATCTTTGAGATTATGCTTAAATGAAATTCATGCTGAATGCACATAGTTTGTCTCCGACAAGTGTTAATTTTAACGTAATATTAAGTAATGAAAATATAGGCGTTGACGTATTATCACAACCACCTTAGTAGAAGCTTCTAAATTTTCAAAATGTGCCAAACTCCTGCAACTATGTGCATAACCATTCTTCAGGCTCATAGGCAGTTCTTCATTCGAGCAATGTCGTCACTGCGTTTCTTTTGTTCTATTCCAAGTTCAAATGGTTTTATAAAGAAATCATTGTGTATTTTGTTTTAAATTTAGTTTTAAAATTAGTGCTTTTGGGGTTTGTCAGCAATGGAAAAAAATGTAACATTTCAGCAGGAATCTTTTATTTTGCTGTAAAATCCTAAAGGTAATTGTGAGATGCATTTGGTTGATAGCTGGCATGCAAGTCTGAATGTGTGCAGTTATCTGATTTGCCTTTTAAGTGAAAACAGATCAAATATGTACACAGAAAGAACAGTGCAAAAAAAAAAAAAAAAAAAAAAAAATTCTGAAGGATTTCATGAAAAAAGTGTTTGATTCTTTTTCATGTATTGTTTTTTATTTTGATATGTTGATGATGTTTGCTCACTTATGATAAATATTGAAAGTATTAAATCTTTAAATTAAAAAAAATCCATGAAAATCGTCAAATTACACCAAGGTGGTTGCGCTAATATATTTACCAAAATATGTTGTACATTCTTATTGATTTTCTATTTCTGTGAAAACGATCTTTTCATTTGTCAAAATTTTAATAGTTACAGAGATATAAATTTGGCATTTTGGCATCAAATGGTGTGTTCCCGTTGACAGCACAGTAGTCATATGGTGACAAATAGAGATTAAGAAAGCTCTTTTATATGGAAAAGTAGTCGCAATTGACAACTAATTTTCTACCAGGCTAATGCACAAAAGGCGACAGACATTTTAAAAATGGGGCACACTATGAATTCTGTAAAAAAGCAATTAACCAATAAAATTAAAAAAGCAAGAAACATTTGTAATAAAGCATGAGCATTTGTCAAGAAATCCTGGTACATATTTGGAAAAGGAGTCATAGTTGACAACTAATTTTGTACCAAGCTAATGCACAAAAAGCAACAGACATATTAAAACTGGGGTGCACTATGAATTCTGTAAAAAAGCATTAAATCAATAAAATTAAAAAAGCAAGAAACATTTGTAATTAACCATGTGCCTTTTTCAAGAAATCTTCGTATATTCCCCCCTCTCAGTTCTATCCATATACACTGTGATTTGTTTTTGCTTAAAAAAATCAGAGAATTATAGAAATAAACATAAATTTTCTTCTATGAAATGAAAACTGCAATATTGCACTGATGTGCTTTCACATATACACAAAATAAACAGTTCAGATTCTATCACACCAATTTATAGCGAAACGTTAAACATAAATACACTGATGTGCTGTTTATTTACGGGAATGGATTTTTCCCATTATCATACAAAAGAAAAATATCTCGTTAGATATATAAATGCAACACTTTGATTGTTTTAAAAACTCTTATGCACTGACGTGCTATAAAATGCACTGATGTGCTACGTGTTAATGGGAAAATGTTTTCCCGAATATACCACAAAAGGAAAATATCTTGTTAGATATATAAAACAAACACATTGAGTGTTTAAAACTCTTATGCACTGATGTGCTACTTCTGCTTTGGGAATTGATTTCCCGAATAAGTAATAAATAACTACATTATACTCTTCAGGCCTGGAAATGAATATTGTGGAGAACACATACCTGGTCTCTTGTCACACAAATCTCGGTTGGAACCTCCAATTTTTATTTCTTTTGTCTGTGACGTCGTGGATGCTTCAGTGGGAACGGAATCAACACTGGTATTGGTGATGCATCACTTTAATTACAGCACATACCACAGATACAACATTTAATTAATACATTTAGAAAACTTGAGTACATATCCGAGTTGGTGACACGATCAGAGACGTTAACGAAGGTAGCACTCGTCATCACTGGACAAATTTAGTCTCCACACCTCAGCTCGCTGGCAGAGCTTCCCAAACTCCTCTCTGACAGGCGTCTGACCAGAAGGTCTCTTCTCTTTACGCATGCGTATTCTTCAGTTAAGTCGTTGCCATTCACAGTTCTTTAAAATAGGTGTTAAAAATGAATTATAGCCCTTGTAGTGTGATCTCTAGTCGAGAGCATCATAGATCTTTCTAGTAGAGAGTTCAGGAGCGTTCTTTACACAGCTACATGTAAAACACAGCTACATGAAATCTGCTGTATGGAACAAGAAACGGGTATTAAGGCTATCTCATGTATCCTTACTAAATCTCCTGTTGTATTTCCTATGGATTTTTGCACTTTTGACTTTTAAAAAGCTGGATCGTACAAATGTCAACCTACAGCCCTCCTTAGCCTTTGAAAAGCTGTTGAAGAGGAATGGGATAAAATACTTCTTCTGATACTACCAAAAACTTTATTGCCTGGAAATTACGGCATGAGAAGAAGATAGGGAACAATATGGGTTATCAAGTAGAACATTTAAAACACAAAAATTTTAGGCAAAATATTTCTGTAAATACAATGAAAACTGTCTAGAAAATGTGCAAACAGCCTTTGTGTTTGTTTTACACATGGAAAAAACCATGAAAACCAATCATGCAGCCAATCTGTTGACTTGGTTTTGAATACATGTTGAACTACTAGTTTTCAATGATCTGAACCATTTGACCACTGGTAAGGCATTTTGATTCTGGAACAAGCACATTTGTAAGTAAGAAGTAATGGTATAAGCATATTATTATTGATTTTGCAATAGTAATATGCAAAAATTTCACTAATAAATTCAGTAAAATATAATTTTAATACTAACTCCTTTACAATAGTTACACTAATAGTCATTCTTTTTCTTTCATTCTTTTTCCTACCAAGTGATGATGAAAGCTAACTGTTGGCGTATGTGCTGCATATGGCCTGTGGCATCTTTTTTCGTGATCTGTGGCAAAGTTATCAAACTTTGTTATAGACTAATTTAAGACCTAATTTATTATTATTGTTGACCTAATTTAAAAATGTATATACAGCTTATTCAGTAAATGTTGCAACAAACTTCTAAGGAAGGTAGGGCACACCATAAGGAATAAGAATTGCATAAGAACCCATGCCCTGAAATGCTAAGGGTAAAGTGGTAGCAGAGGGAAAGGATTATAAAAGAAACAAGAGTGATAAATTTGAAATATTTATTGGACATGAGTACAAATGGTGTACGACAGCTTGAATGTTGCAACAGATGCTCGAGGTTCGCACCATCAGACGCCAAAAATGTCTGACACTGACGGACCAGTTATTGCCGCACATGTTCAAACACACCGAGAGTTTCTTTGATTGTAGCAGCTATGCAGGCAAGTCTTGCCATGAGAACCATTTCAGACACAACAGGATGATGATACACGACACTTTTGATGGCTTCTCACAAAAAGGCATCAAGGCTTGATAAATCCGGTGAGTGTGGGAGCCAGGGAATTGATCCACCACGTGTAGTCCATCGATGTGGGAATGATCTGTTCAAATGGCTCCGAACATCCAGTCCAAAATAAGTCAAATTCTTAATGACTCGTAGTCGCACAAATTTTGATGCAGATGTGCAATAAACTGTGGTATGGTTGATGTCTGTCGGAGAAGTGTTCTTGATAAATGCGTGCAGCGGTTCGCCCATTACCCTCAGCAATTCCATACACTAACTGCATGTCTGCAAGCTCCCAGTTTGTATAACGTTCCATGCTCTTCGTATGGTACCTACCGCTCGAATGTGGCAATCCTTCCTGTATAGCGTTTCCTGGCAGCGTACAGTGACATTTCTGGGCATGGGTTCCTATGAAATTCTTAATCCTTATGATGTGCCCTACCTTCCCCAGAAGTTTGCTGCAACATTTACGAGACATTCTCTATATTTTCATACTTCTAACTATTGTAGGGCCATTTTCACATACAGGCTATTTGAACTTAATCTGAGTATGCAAAAAATCTTGAAATAATTGGTGAATATAATCGGTTTCATTATTCCACTATGTATTCTTAAATATTTGCATAATATAACTTATAGCCTCAAATAGTAACTGAAATTTTCTTGTAGAAGTTTATGCAGCTTACTAGATTACATAATTTTGCAAACGGTAACAATTTATTATACTGAGCAAGGGTGGCAGTCCATACTTTTTTGAACAAACTCTTAAAGGGAAAAATCACATCTTCACCTTCTTTCTGAAATGTTTGTATTATTGTCTATTGTATGTAGAGAATATAATTTAGAAACTAGCAGCTATTTTAGATTTTTAAGAAATTTTACATTACTTTTTATTTGTAAAAATGGAAGAGAGAGTTTGAATGCCAATATATAAACAATAAGCAGTAGTTCCTAAAGAGTATTTCAAGAAAAACAACTTTTTTATAGCCCTGTGCCAGCATACAACTGGACTCGGAAAGGCCTCACAAAGGAGCTTCCTCAAGGTGCTTCTTTGCATAGCTATAATCGGGTTTTAATTTTGCCAAAAGTCAGAGTTGAAGATGTTGGTGATTATGTCTGTACTGCAAGTAATGGGTTAGAATCAACAGCTAAGTCTGTTCCTTTGCGTATCCAAGGTAAATGCTGTCTGATTTTTTTTTTTTTTATTAATATTGCTTATAAGCATTGGATATTTCTATATTTCTTTGAATGTAAGGTAAATTTTCCCCTTGTAAATAATAAACCTTTCATTACTACGAAGGACTTATTATCTTTACTCTTTTGACTTGAAGTGTATAATTCTATGTAACATAGACAAGACATAACTGAAGTAAAATTTTATATTTAAAAAGAGGTATAACTGAAGTTTAACAAAATTTATTCAGTGAGAAATCTTAAGAATATAAATGCTAAATGTAGACAACTGCAAGAAATAAATTTAATTCTATACAGCCTGATTTCAGTTATTCATCATTTGTAAGCTAAAAGCTAATTAGTAGTCCCAGAATATATTCACCAAAACCTTGTTTAAGCAGCAGCTTTTGTGAGAAACAATTTTTCTGGCATATTGTCAAACTCTGTAATTTACAACTTTGTTTGCTATTTAAATGCCAGTTAATTTACATTGTGGTGAAGCTGACAAAAGAAACTGAATTTACAGCAAAGAATAAACATTAAAATAGCATGGAAGTTTAAGTAAACTTTACAAAATATATCTAAAAGTAAGGTATGCTTTAAAATTAAGAACATTTTGAAATTCTACATTTTTCCAGCTTATTAATTATTCTGAAGTTTTCTTTTTTTTTTTTTTTTTTCCTAAAAATTACTTATCTTTTATTAAATACTTAGAAAAAAGCAGCAGTTACAAATCTCAAATCATTTACAACTAAGTTCTGAAGCCAATTAACTAAAAGCAATAGATCACATGCTACATCATTACCATGATTTTTAACTAACATGACAGACAAATGCTTATGTGTTAAGTAATCCATGCCTTATATGAAAATAATGTCATTTACTTCCCAATGTGTACTTTGGATATCAATCATAGTAGTGCAAGTAAAAATTGTGCATGTAAACAAAGAGAAATGGATCTGTTACCGTAATTTCCAGAAGAAATGCCGCGGCGTTTACGTGTTTAAAACTTAAATTTTCAGCGGGTGCGGCATTTCTACCCATGCGGCGTTTAGGTGCACTAAAAATAAAATATTTCCTATGATGGCCTTGTCATTGTGCATAGACTGGTGCTGTTCCCACACAAAATGACTTGTCAGTTGCTTTTTGCGAACGTTATTTTGTTTACATTCTTTCCCTTGAACGGACCTACATGCCTTATTCACCCTAAATGAGATCTCAGAACAATAACATTCTTTCCCCTTTCAAATCAACATTTTCATCAGTTTGAATAGTCTCTCTCCTCTGCCATTCGATGAATCTTCCAAGACCCATCCTCCCCCCACCCCTGCCTTTTCTGCAATTTTTTTCAAAGGCGGACACGACTCCACCTGCCTCGAAATAATGAACTCTGACGTATTTCCCCTTCGGCATGAATGGATTTTTCTTGGCATTCTGCCAAATACAGATCCCATCAGTTTGGGTACAAGTACTTGTTGGATAGTTTTTTAATTAGGGAGCGGAAAATTTCTGAAAATGTCTCTAAACGGCACAGAAGCTATACATTTCTTACCTTTAATTTATTTTTGAGTTATGGTTTCATTTCATGCATTTTTCTTAACTGGTATGTCATATATCAGGACTTAGGTTGAGTTTTTGCATCTATACGGCCCACGACGATGTCACGCGCAATTTAATCTATTGCGGCGTTTCTGTGTAATTTTAATTTTTTTCCCGCCATTTTTCTCAAGTGCGGCATTTACGCTGATGCGGCCTTTCTTCCGGAAATTACGGTAATTAAAAAGATTATGGACATAATTAAAATAACACAGTTAAATTTACAGCACTCACGGAGTGCAAGTGCACAATTAAAAGTTGACTTTGAAAATATTCCAAATTTAAAAATAGCTTGCATACAAAAACCTTACCTCATTAAAACCTTACCTCATACAAGAACCTTACCTCATTAAAAAACCACTTACCTCATTAAAAATGTGGTAAGTGGTTTTTCACAAAGATATAGGATCTATTCTCACCAAACACAAGCAAAAGCTGCAATAATTGTAAAAGAAGACTCATTTCCAATCATTCAGATTCTCATAATGGAGGAAATAACAGTAATCAAAGTAGAAGGATCACCTTCTTTTATATGAATCTCGGTCTATTGTTCTTCAAGTACAGAAAATGATCCAATATTAATTACATTAGAGGAAATAATAAATGATGCAGGTGATCTTCCACTAGTCATCTGTGGTGACTTTAATGTAAAACATATTATATGGGGTCCATTACCAACAAATCCTCGTGGATCAAGAACACGTGGGAACATTGGCAAAATCTAATTCTACTCTTAATGTCATGAAGTCAGTTATGCAACTTATGTAAACAACTCAGACTTTATTGCTTATCTTTAATCCTACAATGTTTATGTCATTCTGATTGTTATTTTTCCTTCCATTTACATCAATGCAATGTTAAATTATTTAGTCACTATAGTGTTTACTTACATCTGTAACAAATTGTGTATCTGTTTACATGTTTATTTGAATTTTACGCTGCTTTAATTAATTGTTCATTTATGTATATATTTCATTGTGTATAATTTCATTGTATGTATATAATTGTTCATTTATGTATATATTTTCATTTATTTATACCTGTTCATTTATGTAAAAAAAAAAAAAAGCCATCCCTTCACTTCCTGTTTTAGTCGTTATGACTCCTTTTTGCTTTTAAGTTTGCAAAGCTTTCTGTTTCCCTTTCGCCGTTTAACCTTCCTTCTCAGCCCCCTTTTTGCCGATAGACTTTGCTTCATTTCGCCTATAGATCTGTTTTTTTTTTTTTTTTTTTTTTTTGTTCCCCCTCTTTTTTAGCCGGGAGGGCTCTCCCTTTCTTAGACTAGTTTTTAGCTTTTTGCTTCTTCACCTTTTTAGCCAAAAGGCACCTCCTCTTCTTTTAGCCGTTTGGCTTTTCTTTGAGGCTCCCTTTCTCAGCTGATGTGTTCTGCCTCGTTTTAGCCTATTGGCGTTTGCCTACCTTGGTAGTTAGCCCCTGTCCCCATGGGTAGTCAATCTGCCATTAGTATGCCAGCTGTTGGCATGAGAGATATAGTATGAAATTTTTTGATTCATCTGCCACAAGTATACACTCCGGGGACATGGTTAATGTAATATCCTATAGTAGTAGTGGTGTTTATGCTGAGTTTCTATGTGTATGTATATAGAGTGAATATCATAATACAATACAAAGTCTAAAATCTGGATATCCAATATTCGAATAACTTATTATCCAAATCTCCAAACCATCTGCTGAAAAATGTGAAGTAAATAAAATAAACCATAAAACTTTCTCCCTCCCCTTTACAAGATCTGGGAATGGAGAATGTAATACTTGATAAAAGGATAAGTGGAATTTTTTTTTTTTTTTTAACTAATCAAGATTCATACATGTCACTTTCAAATACCAGCCGTCTAGGGAACGGCACTGTAGCCTATTACTGTACATTGCTTGACATCAGCCAAGATCACACTTCAGCCCTTGAGTGGTCCTGGAAGATTAGTATTTTTCTATCTGACTTAGCAATTAAGTGAAGCTTTAATGTTACTATGTCTACATTCCATCGTACTAGATTTAAACTAGTGATCTAAAATCTGGAAATTTCTAAAATTCAGAGTTGCCAAAGTCCTGACAATTTCAGATCTCGGACTTTGTAATGTATGAATACATATGTGAATATCGTAGTATGATTATGCAGTGTGAACATTATAGTGTTAACACATAATGGGAATACCATACTGTGAATGCACCTTAGTGATTTGTTTTTCATTTGTGTATAAAAAGCTTGTAATTTGTTTTGTATAAAAAAAAAATTAAGTGAAGCATTTTTTATTCAACATTGGTATATTTTGCAGCAAAACCTGAATTCACAATCCCATTGGAGAATAAAGTTGTAGATAAAGGTTCAACAGTAGTATGGACTTGCGAAGCATTTGGAAAACCTGATGTAACCTATAGTTGGTTAAAAAATGGCAAGCTACTGCAGCGTGAAAATTTTGATATAAGCGACAGCAATCGTTACCGTATATACAATAACGTTCTAAGTATTGACAATGTAATTGAAAGAGATGAAGGAATGTATCAATGTAAAGCTACAAATCATCTTGGCTCGTCATATTCTTCTGCACAGTTAAGAGTCATTAGTAAGTATGTCTATTTTTAAGTATGATTGTAGGCAAGGCGCATCATTGAATTCAGTATAATCCTATGCTAAAAGGTAAAGTGTTAAAAAAAAAAAGGGGGGGGGGGACAGTGCTATATCTCCCATTCTACTGGGCCGATTGACAAAATTCAAACTGCGTTTTTCATGTCTCGAAAGCACGACTTAGGATATATATTAGATTTATATATAGCACTATTCTCATATAGGTATTTTAACACAAAATCAGACTTTTTCTGAAATAACATATCAATATTTTTCCATATTTCGATTCTACGACTCAAATTATGCCAGAATACCAAGTTTTGTAAAAATCATACGAGTAGTTTTTAAAATATTAGCTCTCAAAATTTTAGTTCCTCGATGTTAATTGAATATAGTAAATATTTATTAATAGCTCTTTTTTTTATTAAGCCTTTATTTTTTTTTTTTCCTTTCACATTTCGAAATTTAGGTTCATTCCAAATAAAATTTACCCATTTTTGTGTTTTATTTTTAAAATTTCTGTTTTTAAATAATTTTTATAAATTTTTCAAAAAAAATTTTGAATTATAACCTATAAAATTTTTAGCATCATCTTAAAGTAAGTGTATTTTTAAGCACATCTGCAAAAAATTAGACTTTTTTATTCAAAATTTTCTAAGATATACACGAATTTACATATTTTCACATTTTGAAATTTGGCATCTTTTTTTTTTTTAGCGATAATAACGCCAAATGTGGGCTATGGCTTTTTGTTACAGTGAAATGCCACAGCTATTTTTAACCTTAAATTTCAAGTAAAATTTTATGTACAATTAATTATATGACATTTTTTCCCTCAATGATGCATAATAAATATTTATTAATACTATATGAAAAGCTATTTTTTTAAATTATAGATGATATTATTCAAATTTTTAACTACTTTTTCTTTTTAATTTCTCTCTATCTTCCTTTTTTTTTAAAAAAAATAAGAGTAAATTTTTACCTTCGGCGTTTTATCGTCTGCTGCTTTACTTCATTTAAATCGAATTGTCTAAAACTGAGAATTGTTGTTGATTTTATTTGAATTTTATGACATTAACTGCATAATTTATTTCTAAACAAACTGTTGAAGTGGCTGAAAGAGCGGCTGATACTATCATCCATATTTTTAAAGCACAGTATATTTTTATAGAAACATAAGATTTAGAATAATCTTTTTCATAAAAGTCAAATTATGATATAAACATACAACCCTCTTGAGACTGAATTAATGGAAGTTCAATGTTTATGTAGAAATGATCTGCAGCTACTTAATGGCTGCATAAGGCTTCTGTGGACATGTAACAATAATTATATAAACGACACCCAACATTCTGGATTCAATTAAGAACGAGGATATGATGTTTATTAAATGAATTTAAGAAGCTTTAAAACATATCCTAAAATGTATTTTTGTGCGTAGCATATTTTCATTATATCCTTAAAATTCTAATTTAGAATTTAATTGTCAAGAACTGAATCCTAATTATCAGTAATATAATAAGTAATTATTACGGTTATTAATAAATCCTTCTTAAATTAATAAAGTAATTGCAAATATTTCAAAAAACTTTCTGTCTGAATGCAAAGATTTTTAATTTTATATTAATCAAGATTACACACGATATTATTTATTTGCACTTTAATTCTTACCGTAAGCTCTAGTAGAAGTTACAAATCAATTATATTTAATTAAGGATTGAATTGGATTATTTAATTATGGCAAAGCACACAAGGGCTATCTGCCTAAAGGGAGGGATGCCTTCGTGGAGGACTTTCTAAGGAAAACTGGCTCGTATACACATTACACATGGGGAAATCCACGAAAATGCCCATGCAGCCAGCTGTTCGTGGGATTCGAACCTCGGACCGAACTACCAGTGTTCAACGTCTTTACCACTCAGCCGCTGGTGAAATATTTAATTAAGGAATGACCATCTAAGTTTAGAAGCAGCGTACCGTAACAGCAATTCAATTATTGGCACTGTATCTTTCATGTTACTCCCGATTGGCAAGTTACATGATTTTTAATGAGTATTCGGGTTTTGCTAGTAACTTCACTTAGAAATCACGCTGAAACTAGGTTGGTTGGTTATTTAAACATAGAAAAAACATGGGAGCTATTTGATTAAGATGCTTTCATAGAGAACCTTTGTAAAGAGAACCTAAAAAACTACGGAAACCAACCGTGCAGCCTGGGTTAGACTTCGCAACAAACAATTAGTATTTAACAATCTTCAAATGCTAGGCAACTGGTGAGGCTCCAATTAAATCTCCAATTTAATATTTTATTTGTAAATATTTAAAATATTGTTCTATTCTTAGACACAAAAAGCAGAATTTAAGTTTTGTTAACTCGTTAGTAAACTACCAAGCCGTAGTGCAAATGAATATTCAATTTCTTTTGCAATAATTGTGTTCACTTAATATTCTTGGAATATGAGCTAAAGAAGGAACGTTCTCGGAAGATTAAAGAAGTGTTTAAATCCAGTGATATTAGGTTTGTCTTACAAGCTCAGGATGAAAACAGTTCTGCAATTGCCTGAGTAGTTGACTTGTAAATGGCTGTGAATTAAGCAGATGACTTTTAATCTTATGTTTTCAGTCAGAAAACACATTCCAAATGCTTTGTATTGCATGACAGTGCAACTTTTCATTATTCAATAACCAGTCGGAGAACCGCTTGTGTTCCGAAAATAAGTATGTGTACTCAATTGTCCTGCATGTTCTTCAAATTTGTCTTCTTGTGATTTTTTTTTCTTTCCCAAAAACTAAAGTTGCCTCTCAAAGGAAAGTTTTTTACATTGAAGAGATAAAAGGAGGATGACATCTACTTTCAGAGGCATGTCAAAAGCAGATCTCTACAAGCCTTCTCTTCCATTACATGTTGTGCATTCAGACAAAAAGTTGCATCAGCGTAAATTCTATAATCTATTTTTATTACACTGATTACTTTATTAACATAGAGTAAATATATACTAAATCTTTTACTTCATCTTAAGTAATTCGGAATTTTTGACGGAATTGTTGTCGGAACTAGGTATTAGAAGATAAGTCAAATTGAATATTCTCGATAATCCAATAAATTCAATGTCGAAGTTTCAATATTTTATTTTCGGAGGGAGAGGAATTTTTTTCAGTTTTGGTCCATTATCCTAAGTATATTTGCTTCCATTCTTTATTTTTTCCATAAAAGCGAAAATCTTATGCATATAATAGGGCGAGTCAAATGAAAGTGAGCCAACCCCTCCTCAGCAAGAATGGTTCGGTCCATCATCTGCGGCGCAAGCGCGTAGCACAGAGACAGCCTTCATTTACGAAAGTGGCGCGAAAGTGTGAGGTTAAAGTTCTTTAAGGCGCTCTTACACTGGGTTGAAGACGGTAGCGTGACATAATAGATGCTCCAAAAGAGGAACAGCGTGGTGTGGTCAGGTTTTTGACAGCTGAAGGTGTTTCTCAACATGAAATTAGTCGCCGTATGACTGCTGTATACGGTGAACATTGCATCGCATAGGCCACTGTGAAGCGTTGGAGCAACGGTTCAGAGAAGGACGTGAAAGTTGCAAAGACGATCCAAGACCGGGCCAAAGCCACTTTGCAATCACCCTCGACACAATTGCACAGATTGATGAGCTGATTAGACAAGAACGGAGGATAAGCATCGATGAACTGGCAGAGCGTGTGAACATCAGTCACGGTTCGGTTCACACCATAATTCATGATCATCTCGGTTATCGGCTTTTGTGTGCTCAATGGATGCCCAAGATTTTGAACGACCGCCAGAAGACGGAGAGGTTCGGCGCTGCTTTGACTCATCTCATCCGGTATCACACTGAGGGTGACGACTTCTTGTCTGCAATTGTGACCGGAGACCAATCATGGTGCCACCACTACGAACCTGAAACACGCCGGCAAAGCTTACAGTGGAAACATTTGAATTCACCACCCCCAAAGAAAGCAAAGGCTGTCATTTCCTCGGGAAAGGTGCTATTGACTTTTTTTTTCGATCGTCAGGGACCATTACTGATTGAATATGCTAAACGTGGAGAGACTATCAATAGTTCGCGATATTGTGCAACGCTGGATCGGCTGTGTGTCGCAATCAAGAACAAACGACCTGGAAGATTGACGAATGGTGTGATCTTGCTACATGACAATGCTCGTCCCCACGTCGGTGATGTGGTTAAGACACAACTGGCAAAGTTCAAGTGGGACACGCTGCAACATCCTCCATACAGCCCAGATTTGTCGCCATGCGACTTTCACATTTTTGGGAAACTGAAAAAACATCTCAAGGGTACCAGATTCGTGTCGGACGACGCCGTGAAGGAGTCGGTTACAGACTTTTTGAATCGACAGCCCAAGGAGTTTTATGAGACGGGGATCACGCGGCTCATTTGTCAATGGGATAAATGTCTCAATGTTCATGGAGACTACCTTTAAATAAAGTACTCTGTTTGTCATATATTCGCATTGGCTCACTTTCATTTGACTCGCCCTTATATATATAACGCATAACGTCAAATTAAAATTTAATAATATACAGGATAGTTATAATTAAACTTCCACTTTGAAACGGTCCTAAAAGGAAAACTACTGGATCAAATGTTATCAAACTTGGTAACCATGTAAAGGTCGCCATGGAAATTTATCGAGACTTCACCACCAGGGGTAAATGGCGCTGTATGCAATATTGTTAAACGAAATATGGGTCGGAATCTAACTTAACCTTTTGTTACACAGGTTTAATATGTTGTATACCCTTAAGAAACTTTGAAGTAAGCGAATTACCATTTAAGGGCGTTAAATTCGATAAAAGTCGAGTTCGCCATCCGAAAACCACAAATTAGCGATTAGAAAATGTGAGATCGCAAATCACTCGCACAAGTGCGTACAATCTGGAAATCATTTTCTTACAGATCGCTAATTTGTAATTTTTGAAGTCTGAATTCAGTCCTAAAACATGAAGATACTGAT